CACTCCTGCTGAAAGGGGGTAATGTAGATTACATGCTGGCAAGCAGAACTGCAAAGGCAGGTGTTTCTGAGCGCACTGAAAACAGAAACCATAGGCTGGATCAGAAGCTGGGTTAGCTCTAATCTTGATGTTGATTTTTGGACCAGCAAAAAGATTTGGTTGTCTTTGAGCCCAGACAGAAGTGACAGAATTTTGACGGGAAAAGAGTGATATTATCTGACCTATATTTTTTAAATGCTACCGTTCAATATATCCTTGGTAGATAAAGAGGAGTAAGGTGGATGGTCCCCTTGGCTCCTCATGTATTACCCCTAATCCGTTGTATGAGGCACAGGTGCTTGGGAACTGGGTCTGGAATCTTTTTAATGAAAGATACAGTTCTCAGTGGTCCTTCCTGATCCTTCTGAGCATCCTCTCTCTCAGGGCTGTTCTGTGGCACTGACCTTCACTGTGTTGCCTTACTCTCCTGTGGAGGTGGGCTTTGGGGAATCTTTGCTTGGCCTATCTGGACCCGAACAGAGCAGACAAACGGCACTGGTGCCTCCCTCCCCTATTCAGAGCTGATTCCCCCAGCACGGAGCGGTGTCCGCGTTGCGAGCTGGGCCCCTCGCAGGCTGCGATGCTTCACAAGCGTCTCCAACGACACGGCTTGGCCTCACGCCTGCATCTTTCAGAGCATCGGCCTTGCTGGATTGCTAGGTCAATTTGAAACCACTCACCTTACATGATTGCTCCGCCAGGGCCACCTGGGTCACACTGCTGTGTACTTCTCTGCTGCTTTTCCCATGGCACCGCTCACCTCTGGAGAGCAAAGCAGCTCCAGACAGAGCAGAGGCAGAGACATTGCAATGAGGTGCACAGAGAGAGCCACAAATTGTTCCTCGGGTTCATTGTTCAAGGATCAACAGTCTAAAGAACTAGTAGGGATGAAAGCTGGCCCTGAGACAAGAGTGACACTATCTCATCCCTTGGGGGAGAAAGCAAGCCAGGGGGAATGAGAATTTCCACTGTCACTTCTGAAGGGTGCCTGTGTCCTTAGGTGCCTGGTGCACAGCCAAAGAGAGGCTCAGTTGAAATCCAAAGATCTGCTTTGTACGATGTGGATCTAAACTTCAGCCAAACTGCCCTGAAAAACCATTCCCGCTCTCGTTATGCATCCTCTCTTGTATGGTGAGTCGGAGAGACGGGGGCCTTGGCTGTGGCAGAGCACTGGTCTGAGACTGAGCAGTTGGTAGAGCATAAGGAAAAAATAATTTTTAAAAAAATAGTAGAAGATCCTAGGTCCTGCAAATTTTAATTAAGAAAGAACAAGTAGTTCAAGGCACTGCGGTGAGCCTTTATGCTCAAAATCTGCAGTCAGTCAAAAGTCTCACGAGCCCCTGTGGTGCTGGTGCCTGTTCCCCAAAGGCTGCGGTGCTGCCTGCGCCTGCAGGGCAGAGCCGGGGCCACGTGGGCAGCGTGCCAGGCTCGCACGGGGCAGCGGGGACGCTGCGCGCTGTAACCAACGCACCTGTGGCTTGTCCGCACTGCAGGACTGGGAAATGTGTGCCCCTTTGCAGCTAGTAAACTTGAACTTGTGCAATGCCAGTGGTGCCAAAGCTGCAAGGTGTGTGGTGGAGCAGGCTGCTGCAGCAGACTCTGGGCAGCCAAGGGCTGGTGACAAGACCCACTCCTACAGCCGACTGGCTTCTTTACCTGGCAAAATGCCTGCAGAGATTATGCTCTACAGTACAGCTACAGTCATATTTTTTGAGCTGCAAACAATGTTTGTGTATATACATATGTAGAGATATGAGTATGTGTGTATGCATGTATATATAAATAAATAATTTTGGATCACCTTTGCCTATTCACCTTAAATTTACCTAGAAAGACAGATTTTTTTTTTTAATCTGGCACTTTGGGTGTTATTTAAAAATTGGGTGTTATTTAAAAATCAAAGAAGTGCCCACTTGTATGTACAAAGTAGGAAGGCGGCTGCCCCAGCACTGTTGCTCAAGAAGGGGCTGGCTCAGCAGAGCCCTCCAGGGCCTCTGCAGTCCTTGCAGGGCTCTGAAGGGCAGGTTTGTGCTGGGGCAGCAGGAGCAGCTACCCAGGCACTGCAAACAGGCACGGGCAGAGGTGAGAGCTGTGGACGGCTTTGCAGGGCTTTCCCAAAGAGTGGAGCTAGTAGTGGTTGAGCCAACAAAAGCTCTACTACAAATGCATTATGCAGATATGTTTTGGTGCCTCTTTGTACAGACTGACCTTAGCAACTTTCTTTATTGGCGCTTTTTCTTCTTTTTCAGCCATATCTCTTCCTGACTTTCCCTTCAGCGACTGCAGCGAGCACTAAACATAGGACAAAGTTGCTATCTAGTGGACACAGTGAGTAGTAGATGCATTTTTTTTCTTGTTTTGTTTAAGAGGTTTGTCTGCTAAGCCAGAGTAAGCTGTACAGGTATTCATGCGGACACAGTGAGTAGTAGATGCATTTTTTTTCTTGTTTTGTTTAAGAGGTTTGTCTGCTAAGCCAGAGTAAGCTGTACAGGTATTCATGCGAACTACTAGGGTTATTACTATTTTCAGTAGGTTATCTGGCCCAAAAACTTTTGCTTGATGCCGCACTAATTTTACAGCAGACTAAAGCATATAAAATACAGCCCATGCAGTTGTTGAATGCATTGCTAACAAACACTAAAGCTGCATTATTGGATTTTGATGTGCTTGAACCCTTCACAGAATCCCAGAATCACAGAATGGTTGAGGTTGGAAGGGACCCTTAGAGATCATCTAGGCCAAACCCCCCTGCTCCAGCAGGGTCACCCAGAGCATGTGGCACCCAGGCAGGTTTGGAAGATCTCCAGAGAAGGAGACTCCACAACCTCTCTGGACAGCCTGTGCCAGGGCTCTGTCACCCTCATAGTAAAGAAGTTCTTCCTCATATGGAAGTGGAACTTCCTGTATTTCAACTCAGGAGAAGCCTCATTACAAAATAAAATACACTGGTAACATAATATACCCAACATTTTATTATAAAACCCTCTAAAGAGCCACTTTATAGGTCACAGTTACAACAAAGGAAATGCCTCGAGTTAGAAAAACAATGGGGACACAGGGATATTGTTTAACATTTCTTGACTTGGGTGTGTTGTTCAGGCTTGTCTGTGTTTACTATTTTTCCCAGTGGTGGCATCCCAGGGATGTTGCACAGGCTGTGCTGTGGAAAGTGGAGCAGCTCCCTTCCCTTAGCCTCAATTCTACTGCGAAATGTCTGGACAACTGCTGCAGAGGAGGGCTGCCATGAGTAGTTGTATGGTGAGGGTATGGCATGAGGAGAGAGAGAGAGAGAGAGAGACTCTCCTGCCATCTCATGCTGTGTTGAAACAAAAGCTTCATGGTGTCTGTGACTTCCTTCTGGGGTAGGGAGTAAATTTCCCTGTGTCCTAAGCTGGAAGTTTCAGTGGTTTTGTGCCAGGGCCTTTCCCTTGAGCAAATCTTATGAAGGGCCAGCCTTGAGAGCTGGGGCCTAGGAACTCCTGCCCTGTGGGAGGAGCAGGTTACTCTGTGCCCCAGTAGATACTTCCCAAGAGGCGGGGAGGTCGCCTTTCCCACCTCCAGGCTCCTCTGAACAAGTGCCAGGCTGCACGCAGGCCCTACAGCAGCGTCACAAGAGCCTCCCCACACAACGTCCTTGCTCTCCAAGGGCCACCTTGGAGGAGGTTCCTGGAGGCACCGCCCCAGAACTGGGCTTTAGGATCTAACAGGTACCTAGAAACCTGCCTGGGGTGCAGGAGTTGCTCCGGGGGCCCTGAGCAACTCCTGCACCCCAGGCAGGTTTCTTTTGCTGCTCCAGCCTCTCCAACGCCAGAAACCAGCTGCAGTCCCCCACGGTCAACTCAGTTCCTGAGCCTGGATTCCAGGACTGTAGGAAGGTTAGAGGCCATCAGAGGTGACAGCAAGTCCCAGGGAAGATGCAGGGATTTCGGACTCACTCCTTTCTACTTCCCATTCTCTATGTTTTGGCGTCCTGGATATTCAACAGGCATCACTAGAAAGCTGGGTTGGGGAGTGGAGGACTGGGACACTGCTGCTACCAAAGGACCCCTTTCACATCAGACACATTCAGCAGCCTGGATAGTGCCATGAGGCCTCCTCTAGGATGGGATTCATCCTGGGCAGCTTCCTCATCTGCAAGGTGCACCGGCCCAGGCCATTGACAATTTATGACCCAGCTTTCATAACGATTTTCAGAATAAGTTCCTCAGGTGAAGTAGCTCAGTGTTTTCAAGAAAATTAACTGCATCTGTCTGGGAGGTGTTCCTTTGTCCAGAGCTCTTATTGCCAACAGACTGTAACACATCTTACAGAGTTAGAAAATGAGCAGGGATGTTCCTTGATATTCTGGAAAAATCACAGCCTGCAGCAGGCTGGTAGCCTTGTGGAAATAAGCACATGGTACGGAGCATCCGGTCACTGACTAAAAATATCTGCTTCATCCATATGTCTAGTTCCCCACTATTAGCTGAGAAGAGTCTCCCCACTGGACATGTTGCTGTGTGCTTCTCATTTGTGTTTCTACCATCCCTCCTGTTTGGGTTTCTCCTTCCTGCCCTTGATTGAAGGCTGGATCATCTGCAGCTGTATGATGACAGGCAGCAAGACAGGTGAGACTTTACTTGACTGTAATTTACTAAGACAGGCTGAACACCACTGGAGTATAAAGAAGAGCAGAGGCCCATTCTGAATCCACTACTGTCACTAATATAGAAACCTTAACTCATTGATAAATCTCCAGAGTAGATATACACGAAACACCCCTATGTACAATAACATTCTTGTTTACATCAACCCAGTTAGAAATTTGATGCAAGGATTGCCACTGGTTGTTACTCTTTTGATGGGACTGGTGTGGGAAGAGCAAGATCACTTGATGGATCTTTTGTATCGGCAGCTGTTAGCTCCCCTGTTGCATGTGAACAGTTGCACGACGTGGAGGAGGTGCTAGGTGTGCGATTGTGTTTCACATCCCACCTCTATCTCCAGATGATTGAACTTTCTTGTCCATGCATGGGCAATTCCAGTCTTTAGTCTACCGTTGAAAATGTAGTTCTAACTAGCTCCTTTTTTCTCCCATTCCTGTCAAAGACCAAAGATCAATTAGTCAAAAGGCAAGGCTGTCAGGTAGCTTTAATGTGCATCAGATCAGCTAGTGGCACCTGCCCCTTGGAGTGTTTCTGGACTCCCCAAGCCAGCGTCCAGAGCAGGGTGGGTCAGGGATCTCCCCAATCATAGGCAATACTTTCACCAAAGAGTTTATACTACACACAGCAGTGACACTGCCAATGTAGGACCAGGCATGCGGGCAGAAACCATGAGGTGGGATGAAGGTTTGTATGGGGTGCTTGAAGGAGAGACTGAGCAAAGCTCAGTGAGCTTCCTTGGGTCATTACTAAGACTGATCAGAATAAGGAGAATCAAGTACGAAGCAGAGAAGGATGATTTGTTCTTTCTGCCTTAGCTGAACTGCTGTCACTTGGGGAAGAAAAGCAGCCCTAAAGCAGGCCAGGCATTTTACAGGCTGAGTCTGTCTTCCTGCACATCTCTTGGGCACCAAGAGACACAAACTATTCACACACTCTGGGGTACTCTGGAGGAGACTCGTGATAGAAAGGTATCCAGAGCCAACTTCTGAAGGCAGGGTGTGCTGAGATATCCTACTTTCAGAAGTGAAAGCTATAGTGAATAAAATCCCTGTCACAGCACTGCTGCTTCCTCGAGGGACTACGGTTGCTGCAAAGCTGGGGCCTATGCTGGTAGGAATAGAAAAAAGGCTGAGAAAGGCTGAGCTGTTTTCCCAGGTGAATAAGGCCCATCCCTCCTGTGGCTTTCTTGCAGTTAAACCTGAGAAGTGTTTCACCACCGTTTCAGTGAAATTAAACCTCTAGTCTCCTCCATCTGCTTTCAACCCAGTCAGCGTGGCTCAGGTCCAGTTATAGGAGACTGCTTTTTATGCAGTTTAAAATGGTGCCTTACCTTAGCTTTCTGTAGAACTGTCCCCTTTCCTGTTACCATGACAGATAATGGCCTGTTTTTTAAAGCTGTCGCTGAATTGACTGGTGAGTTCTCCACACTGTTCGCCGGACTGGTGGTTTTCACTTGAATCTACAATAAAAATAATAAAAATTGTGATGACTTCAGGCTACAACGATTGCTGCCTTTCATCAACCATTTCCTAAAAAATAGCTCAACTGTTAGAGCTGCAGTCCCCTTTTTACTGAGAGGCATTTTCCAGTGAAATGCAAATGTGAAACAACACCATGATGTAACATTTATAGTGTACTTATTTGCATGTTGAGGAACTTAAGCTGAAGTATAGAGAAGGCCTTCACAAAGAGGTGAGTTCATCTTTCCCACATTATTTTAATGTCTCAGAAGGCCTTTCACTCTTTGATGTAGCCATAATTCCTGCCTGTACTGTAAAGAGAAAGGCTTGTATTTAGGTTTTAAAGGAACCAAATCTTCAGAAAGGATTTTAGGTGCCTAAATCTCCCTGAGACAAGTTCCCTCAGCGGGGTCCAGAACTGCATGACCCTTGAGCATATTGCTCAAGGTCCCACAGAGAACTACAGCTGGATCTCCCTAGTCCAGCCACCTTTCAGCTGCCCTATCATGACTGTTTCCCCTTGCAGTGCAGAAACAAACCCGTGGGCTCTGCACTCTGAGAAGGCCAAGGCCAGGCTGGCCCAGCGGGATGCCCTCCCTCCACCGACCTTGGGGGCTGCGTTCTCCAGGTGCGTGGTGTCCACAGCGGTGCCCAGCGTCACGGGGCCAGACTCGGCTTTCTTCAGATTTTCCTTCACTTCCACCAGGCTCAGCTCGAGGTCCACCCTCTTGCTCTCCTTCTTTTTGCACTCTTCTTCTATCTCCTTCAGTCTCTGTTCGAGGCTCTTATCTGCAAGGGCAGGAATAACTTGGTATCCCAGTCCTGCTGAGCCATTGTTGGGCATGTTCCCAGTGCAGTGAGGGATGAGAAGACTTGGGGGAGCTTAGGAGGGGAAGGAGGGAGCAAGAGAAACAGCACATATTACTGCTACCAAGGTTTATCTTATAGCTTTTCCCAAGACAGACCAGGCCAGAGATGAGGTGTGTGTGTGTGTGAGATATAAACACCTAAACCCTGAGCGTACTTAACACTGACATGTAATAGTGGGCTATTTCTACCTCACTGGAAGCCACAGGAGGTCAAAGGGTAGCTCTGGATCCAGGTCAAAGCCATTTCAGCACTGATTTCTCTGGCACCTTGGCCGGTGTTAATGTGCCTATGGTCCTGTACGTAGTGGGAGAGTTGCCAAGCACCTTTCTATTTCCAAGTGGCCAACTTCGTCACCGTCCCCTCTGAAAAAGCTGCCACCTCACCATTCCCGTTAGTCCCACCTTGGCTCATTTCAACACTTTGCTTTTCTCCTAGCTCTACCTGTGCAACCCGCTAGCATTTCCTTCAGCTCCCGCCTCTCCTTCCGCAGCTGGGTGAGCTGAGCTCGGATTTCTTCCTTCTCTCTCTCCAGCCGCTCCTTCTCCTCTGTGAATCTCTTCACTTCAGCCTCCGTCCTGTTCTTGCCTAGCTTGGTTTCCACCGCTGCTGCTGCAAACACAGGCCACAAAAACAAGCTTGGTCAACACACAATCTGAGGAGAAAAATATTTTGAGAAGCTAGTGTGCTGCAAACACAGACCAGACTCTAAGGGCAAAGCTCAGACCTGCTGCAGCTCCTCACCATGCCTTGGCACATCCCAGCTGCACCCGAAGCCACCACTTTTACTTCCTTTGGAGGGCAAAGCACTAGTCTGAGCTAAAATGGGTGACCAAAGTTCCCGGTAGCAGCCACGGGGAGCTCCCACTTGGCGCGTCCCAGCCTGCAGCGGGGAGGTCGCGCTCCCTTGGCCTGACGCGTGGTGGGATCCCCAGGAACTCACCGGGCAGTGCCAGCTTGGGCCGCTCCAGCCTGTCCCTGTGCGCGGGCAGCAGCTGCGGGCTGCCCAGCAGCGCGGGGCAGGCCGTGGGCTCGGGGCCCGCCTGCGGGAACGCGATCTGCTGCTGCTCCGTCTGCAGTTTGATGGTTGAGGCCCTTGGCGGCAGCTCCTCGGGCTCCGGTTTCTCTGGGCTTTTCTGGAGGCAGAAGAGAAGGGGAATGAGATGGCATGATGTGGCAGGGGAAATTAGCCTGCTGAGGGTTCTGGACCACAATTCTGAACAGTACCTGCTCCAAAATTTCCACTGTCTTTCTGGAGGGTTCGTCTTCCTTAGCCACAAGGGTTGTTTCGCTTACACTATCTGCTAAGCCCTTGTTGCCAGCCCGTTCTAAAGAGGGAGAGCTCCGGGGTGAAAGCTGCTTGCCAGCACAGTGCAGGAAAGATTTCACTGGGGTGAGATCCAGGTACACTCTGTCATGGTCCCCTTCAGATTTGTTTTCACTCTTGGGTCCTTCTTCCTGCAAAAGGAGACCATTGAGGGGCCTGCTGCATGCAGAAGTACAGGCCAAGTCTCACTCAGGAGTACCACTGTCTCAGGTAATCCAGGATAATTTCCATAAACAAGTGACCAAGGAACAAGAACCCCATTCTCTAAGTCATTTCTCACAGGAATTTTCAGTATACCAAAGGGAGGGCTGCTGCTTTCTGCAGTAGATCTTTCCAAAGGTTGCACCAGCATCTCCCTAGGGTCTCATGCTATTGTGCTTCCACACGTCCCCTGCCAGATTCTTTGCATTTCCCCAGGGGAATCTCCTCTGCACACAACCTGCCTTTCTTGTCCTTACACATGGGACTCTGTGTCGGGAGGAGTTTTGTTGGAATGGCCTCCAAACAACCCACGATCACCAACAATCCGTGTCACTCACTGACTGCTCTGTGTTCATCCCTCTCTACCTTACCACCAGCTTTTGCTGTTGGCAGACTTTGTGAAATTTCATCTCAACTCACTTAGTAAGGATTCCCCCAGAGCTCCCCCTGGAAAGCTTTCTCACCTTCCCCAGCAATTCCTCATCAGCACCTACCTCTGCCCCATTGCAAAAGCCTGGATTTTCCCCACAGGCTGGGAATTCCCTTTTCCATGAGCTGCTTGTAGCTATGGAAAATCTCCCCATTCACTGCTGGAGCAAGGTTCTCCCTGGGCCACAAGCCTCCCTGCAAGCATTGCTGGGGGCTGTGAGACCTTACCCCAGGCACATCTGGCACATCCACATCGTCATAGAGCT